AGGCCTGCTGTGTTCATCTAGCTCCACACCTTGTTATCTTAGGGAATTTCATAGTCATCTCACTGATGCTATCGATGTCTGGAGATTGTTTTCTTGTTTCTCCACTCTGCCATGTGCTGTTTCCAACTCCAGCTCAAGTATTGCTTTTATTATAATTGAAGTATTGGGTCTTAGTGCTACCCATTTCATGTCTTGCCTGAGGCCTTCTCGGACGGCATTTAAGCTTGGATTCTGCATTTACTTGTAAGAAAATCACTAGAAGTTTACACCATGGCATTTTTTTTTATTATTGGAAAGTAACACCAATTGAGTAGCGCAGCTTCAGTTTACTTTAAAAAGCTGAGTTTTATTAACAGCTTAGACTATAACTTGCAGTTACAAACAACTACACATATCACCTTCATCCAGTATTCCTTCTTGTTGGACTGCACATGCCAACTGGTCATGGGGTTTTAACATGCTAGTTCTTGGCTCATTTGCATATCAAGCTCTAAAAACATCACAGTTCTAAAAGCACAGAATAATGGCATTTATTGTCAGGGAATGCGTTTCAAATTTGGTGCCTTTCTTATAGCTGTACAGGGTCTGGGCAAGATTACGTCTATAGTACCATGTACAACTTTGATCTTCTTATTTGAGAAAGGATATAACTGCATTAGAAGCAGTTGGGAGAAGTTTCACCTAACTCATTGCTGGGATGTTGTGTTTTCCTTCTGAAAGTAGGTTGGACAGGTTGGACCTGTTTTCATTTAAAAGAATGAAAGGTAATTGGGTAGATACAAGTAAGATCCTTAGGGGACAGGGGACATCCTGCTGAAAGGATGTTTCCCCATTGTAGGAGAGACAAAAACTAGGGCACAGAGTTTAGGAAAGAAGTGTCCTCCTATTTAAGACAGCGTTAAGGAGACTATTTTCTCTCAGAGAGTTGTTAGTATCTTTCTATGATCCTAAATGCAAGTTGGTAGTAAAATATTTAGATCTAGATTACTGATCATCTGAAAACATGCAGATCATTTACAAACATTCCCTCCCTCTACAACCAATGCTTATTGGCAGCAGTGTGTACAATGTATAAGATGCACTGCAAAATTTCACCAAGGCTCCTTAAACACTACCTTCCAAACTCACACCCATTATCATCTAGATCCAGGCACTGATAAGTGATTGTGGGAGGGTATTGTGAAGAGAAGTGCAACAGAAAGGGCAAAGGGGATAGTTTACAGCAGACCCACCCTTCCTGGGTGCCCACAAAGATTAAGGTCCTGTCTGTTGAAATGTTTGGCTTTTAGCATGTGGAAATGAATCACACCACAAGTCTATAAACATAAACAAAAACTGTTGGAAAAGCTCAGCAAGTCTGGCAGCATCTGTGGAGAGAAATCAGACAGGTTTCCAGTGTAATTCTTGTCACAGTCAAGATTGTTTAGTAAATGTCATCAATAGCAAATTCATATGTTAAACACTATGTTCTGAGTTTTGGATGTATGGAATAGGTGAACATTGAACAGATCCATACATTGCATCTTTTCCAAAGTACTAAGGCCAATGGAGACTGCCAATTCCTGCTTCATCGCCTTGGCAATGACCTATCCAATCATACTGGATATGTTCTGAGGAAGGGTCACCGGGCCCGAAACGTTAATTCTGTTTTCTCCTCCACAGATGCTGCCAGATCTGCTGAGCTTTTCCAGCAACTTTGTTTTTGTTCCTGATTTACAACATCCGCAGTTCTTTTGGTTTTTCTTTGGATTTGAATTCAATTAGGTAACTAACACTGACAGACTACATCAATATTCACCCTACTTTTTTTTCCATGCATGGTCCTAGCAGCAGCTTCCAGAACCGAACGTCAATGGGGGGCATTATTAATGCTCTGTCTCGAGAGAAAAACAAGACTTTAAAGGAAACGTCGGCATTCCTATATTTTTATCCCGATGTATCAGCTGCAAAATGTTCATGGAAATCGGCATTAGTATTGACATTAATTTCAACAGGTAATACCAGACCATACAATGCCCATCAAAACTGGCAATTCAGTGAACTCCCGCTCATATCCCTTTCCTGGGGGGAGAGTCGGCGCATGCGTGCCCCGCCCGCGGACGTCACAGTCACGTGCTGACGCGCTGACGCAGGGGCGCTGCTGGCTCGCTGGTGGATTCCTGCTGCCTGGTAACACGGCCGTTCGGAGCAGAGGTGGCAGTGAACTTACCGGCTGTTTGGAACCGCTCCTGGTGTTCCGCTAACATTGGGCGATGGGCTCCGTATTAGGGGTGTGCTCGCTCGCCAGCTTGGTAAGGATGCGGTGAGAGGTGGCGAGGCCTCGGAGTATAGGTGACGGGCCTTATCCCTGACCCTGGCCGTGTCTGGCAGCTCCCGGAGCCCGGAAAGGGAGTTGCGTTTCCGGCTGTCTGACGGCGGGCCAGAGCTTACGATCAGGTTTAGTTCCCGCTGATGGGTACACAATATGACCGTTACTCCTCATTTCGGAGCGTTTGTACACTCTGGCGATCAATTCCAGAAACTGCCGAAATCAAGGCGCGGCTTTGCCCATCGCTGTCAGTGTTTACATTGCAGCAGCTCTGTGTGTCTGCTGCCCACTGCATGTCTGTCTTGACGTACGCTTGTGGCTTAATGAAGACTTAAAGCGTCTACTGTCAAAAAATACCCCCAACCACTTAAAGAAACAAAAGTTAACTGTCATTGTACAAATGCTTTGGGTTGTAGTATATAGTCACGTGATGTTTTTGCGCTTAAGTGAGCCAGCTGCAAAGGATGCATTTGGCGTTTCCCAAATATTTACGTGTTGGAAATTTTGACAAGTGTTTCAATACGGAAAAAAACCTTTCGAAAAATAGTGAAGTTTCAAAATTACCACGGAATTTGTAAGTGACGATTCATTTTCGACAGACTTGTATTTATGAGGCGTCGTTCATGATCTCTTTACAACAAATAAAGTGCTTTCAAAATGTACTCAATAGTCGAACTCCAGCAGTTAGTATGTATACAACAGCGTCCTAGAAACGGCTAGTGACATGATCAATTTGATGGTATTGCTTGAGGGATGAATGTTAGCCAGGATGCTGGGGAGAACTCTCCTATTTTCCTTTGAATTATATAACGGAGTCTCTTGAATCAGCCTCGGAATGCCCTTGGGTTATATACTGCATCTGAAAGATGGCGCCTATAACAGTGTAACACCTTCAATTGTATGTACAATGTCAGTGTAGATTTTGCTCAGATTGCAATAACTCAGCAGCGGTAAATATGCTGCAAAATGTAGAAGTTCAAAACTTAAGTGATTCGAGAAAAATCTGTTTTATTTTGAATTACTCAGCCCACAGAACTGGATGTGCTGCATCCTGAACCGTTCCTAACCTTCAGTCCTTAAAAAGTATCTGTATAAATATTTCCTTCATTTTAAGATAAAAATATACACTCAGTTGCTGCAGTTCCCACGTATGAAGGGTTTGACAGTGAGAGGACGTAGATTTTAAGTAATTCGTTAAAGGAACAGCAACCTGAAAATGTGTAGTCAAGGCCTGAAAGGCTTTGCCTGAGAATGTGGTGGAAACTGCTTCAATTGAAGCAGTCATAGAATCATACAGTGCAGAAGAGGCCCTTGAGCTCAACAAGTCTGCATCGATGGCTGCTAAATATTTCTCATACAATGTCCTTGCGGGGAGATTTGCTGGTACTACAAGGCAGGTTTTAATCGAAACAATAGTGCGAAAAGGCTGTCGCTGGTACAGTAGATAAGGGGAGCAAGTCAAATGGTCAAGGCAGACAAGAGCTTGGCAGATGATGAGGAAGACTGATCAATTAAGTTGCATTTACTTCAATGCAAGATGCCTGACAGGTAAGGCAGATCAACTATGGCATAGCTGGCAATATGAGATTGGAATATCATAGTTATTACATAAATGTAGCTCAGGAATATACGTGGCTGGCAACTTAATGATCTGGAGTAGAGATGCTATAGGAAAGATAGAAAGGGAGGCAAGAGAGGATAGGGAGTGCCGTTTTGGTTAGTGATGACATTACAGCTGTACTCAGGGAGGATATTCCTGGGAGAATCCAGTGAAGTTACATGGGTAGAACTGAGAAATAAAGGGATGATCACCTTGTTGGGATTGTCTTTAGAGGCCTCCCAGTAGTCAGTGGGAAATTGAGAAGCAAATATATAAGAAGATCTCAGATATCTGTTAGAATAATAGGACTGTAATGGTGGGGGATTTTAACTTTCCAAACATAGGCTGGGACTGTCATAGTGTTAAGGGCTTGGTGGGGAGAACCTAGAACAGTACAGCACAGTACAGGCCCTTCGGCCCACAAGATTGTGCCGAACTTTTACCCTAATCCTAAGGTCTATCTAACCTCCACCCCCACCTTTTACTATCATCCATATGCCTATCTAATAGCCGCTTAAATGCCCCTAATGAGGCCGACTCCAGTACCCTCTCTGGCAATGCATTCCTCTAAGGTTTTGGAGTAGATCTGTAGCTCGGGTTGTGGGTGTTGAGGTTGGTTGGCTCGCCGAGCTGGTTTGTTGTTCCGCAGTCGTTTCGTTACAGTGCTTGGTAACATCCTCAGTGCAGCCTCTGATGAAGCGTCGGTGTGTTTTCCCGCCTGGTTTTTAAACTCTGGGGTCCGTTGCGATGGATTGCCTCACTTCCGGGTTTCCTGCATTCCTTGCCCCGACCACACTCTGAGTAAAGAACCTACCTCTGACATCTCCCCTATATCTACCTCCACTCACTTTAAAACTATGCCCCCTCGTAATAGCTACCTCCACCCTCGGAAAAAGTCTCTGGCTGTCCACTCTGTCTATACCTTCTGATCAATTTGTACGCCTCCATCAAGTCACTTCTCATCCTTTGTCATTCTAAAGAGAAAAGCCCTAGCTCTCTCAACCCTTCCTTGTAAGATCTTCTCTCCATTCCAGGCAACATCCTGCTAAATCTCCTCTGCACCTTTTCCAATGCTTCCACATCTTTCCTGTAATGAGGTGACCAGAACTGGATACAATACTCCAGATGTGGCCTTACTAGAACACTTTCTTATTTATTATATACCTACTAGAGAAAGAGCAATACTTGACCTTCAGTTGGGAAATAAGGCAAGTCAAGCGACTGAGGTGGCAGTGGATGAGCACTTTGGGTCAAATGATCATAATTCTATTGGTTTTAAACTAGTTATGGAAAAAGGGTAGCTTTGATCAAAAAGTTAAAGTTCTAAGTTGGAGTATGGCCAATTTTGATTGTATTAGACAGGACCTTCCAAAAGTTGACTTGGGGTGGGTATTTGCAGGTAAAGGGCCAGTTGGGAAGTGAGGGACCTTTAAACATGAGATAACGAGAATCCAGAGACAGATTGTTAAAGAAGGCATGTGGGATGCTTGCCTTTCTTAGCTGAGCTTTAGAGAGAATGGTTGCTATGCTGGAACTGTATAAACATGATTAGAGTACTGCATGCTGTCCTGGTCACCATGTTAAAGGGAGGATGCAGAAAACATTTACCAGGGTGCTCCCTGGACTAAAGGGTCTGAGGAATGTGGAAAGATTTGATGGGCTGAGATTGTTTTCCTTGGAGCAGCAAAGGTTGAGAGGGGACCTGATAGCAGTATTGAAGATTAAGGGGCATAGATAGTGTTGATAGGAAAGCATATTTTCCATTACTAGAGGGGTCAGTAACCAGGAGACAAGGATTTAACTTAAGAAGTAGGAGGCTAATAGAAGAGTTGAGGAGAAATAATTTCATTTAGTTGGTGATGGGAGTTTGGTACTTTCTGTCTGAAATGATAGTTGAGTCAAAAACCCTTAAGCTGTATGCCAAAAGTATGTATGTGCTGGACAGAATGACCTGCTTCTGTACGGTACACATCTGAACTCGTAAAGTCATCGTGTACGTCTAAATAAAAGAAGAGATGTAAATGTCTTGGTGCCTCTCGATTAGTTTTGAAGGAATTCTGAAATACCATTTTCATATTTTGTGTGGGTTGTATCAGCTTGTCTGCTGATCAGAGAAGCCTTTTGAGTCTTTTTAATTTTTAGTCTATGAAAATGTCAGTGAAAAAGCCAAGTTTTGAAATTTGATAATCCATTTTCATTATAATCATATCAGGATAAATAGATAATTTTCACATTGATAAATTGTAGAGTGGAGCACCACAGGGATCAGTCCCAAGGCCTCAGTTATTTACATAGAACAGTACAGCATGGGAACAGGTTCTTTAGCCCACCATGTCTGCTCTGACCATGATGCCGTTCTAAGCGAATCCCAACTGCCTGCACACGGTCTCCCTATTCCCTGCCTGTTCATGCATCTGAATGCCTCTTAAACGTTGCTATCGTATCTGTTTCTACCACTTCCCCAGCAAGTGCAGTTCTGTCACTTACCACCTGTGTATTTTTAAAAAAAACCTTTCCTCTCCCATCTCCTTTAAACTTTCTCCTTCTCGTTTTGAACCTATGCCCCCTAATATTTGACACTTCCACCCTGGGAAAAAGACTCCACCTAGCCACTCTATCCATGCCTCTCATAATTTTATATACTTCTGTCATGTTGTTCCTCAGCCTTTGATGCTCTTGCAAAAACAATCCAAATTTGTCCAGCCTCTCCTCATAGCTAATACTCTCCAATCCAGGCAACATTCTGGTAAACTTCTTTTGCACCTCCCTGAAGCCTTCACATCCTTTCTATAGTGTGGCCACCAGAACTGCGCACAATATTCCAAATGTGGCCTAAGTTTTTTTGCAGCTGTAACATGACTTCCTAACCTTTATACGCAATGCCCCTGACCAATGAAGGCAAGCATGCAGTGTGCCTTCTTTACCAACTTATTCATTTATGTTGCTACTTTCAGGGAGCTACAGACTTGCACTCCAAGATTCCTCTGAATGTCAATGCTGCAAAGAGTCCTGCTATTTACATGTATACTTTGCTGTTGCATTTGACCTCCCAAAATGCCTCACCTCATACTTATCTGGATTAAACTCCATTTGCCACTTCTCTGTCCAACTTTCTACTGATCTATATCCTGCTTTATCCTCTGACAACCTTCCTCAGTATCCAGACCTCCTCCAATTTTTGTTGTCAGCAAGTGTACTAATCAGTCCACCTACATATTCATCCAAATCATTTACATATGTTACAATCAACAGCGGTCCCAGCTGATCCTTGTGGAAGACCATTGATCACAGACCTCTAGTTGGAAAAATAATCTCCCAAAACTATCTTCTGTGATCGAGCCATTTTGTATCCAACTTGAACTCATCGTGATTCATTACGATTCATATCAATAACTTAAATGAAGGGGCCAACAGTATGGTAGCCAAATATGATAATAGAAATGTAGAAATCAAATTGTAAAGAGGATGCTGAGTCTGCAAAATGATATAGGATAAATAGGTGAGCAAAACAATTGTCGGATGGAATGTAATGCGGGAAAATGTGCAGTTGTCTACTTTGACATGAACAAAATTAAAGAATATGGTATAAATGAGGAGAAACTCAGGAATTCTTTGATACCAAGGCATCTGGTTGTTCTTGGTCATGAACCATTAGAACTTAACATGGAGGTGCAGCAAATAGTTTGGAAGGAAAACAGAATGATAGCCTGAGGTTATTGACTTGCTCGCTGAGCTGGCTTGTTTTTGTTCAGATGTTTCGTCACCATGCTAGGTGACATCATCAGTGGAGCCTCTGAAGCGATGTTATTCTACTCTGCTTGGAATTTATACTGTCCGGTCCATTATGGTGAGTACTGTCATTTCCAGATTTGATCTGTATGGGTTTGTATATGGGGTCCAGTTCGTGATGAAACATCTGAACAAAAACAAGCCAGCTCAGCAAGCAAGTCAACAACCTCATCCACAACCCGAGCTACAGATCTTTGCCAAAACTTTATAGAATGATAGCCTTTTTTTTTGCAGGGGGTTTGGAATATCATAAGGAGTAAAATCTTGTTATGACCAGACACCACATTGGGAAGAGTGCTAGATTATTTTGTACTATTTGGCCTCCTTACTAAAGGAAAGGATTTACTTGTTTTGGATGCAGTTCAGAAAAGTTTACAACAGCTGATTCTGGTTTTAAGGCTTCCTTTTCTGAGGAAGGCTTGAGCCATCTCTTGCTGGAGGCTCGATGAGTGAGGATTGATCTTATTGATGCATAAGATTCTGAGGAGCCTTGATGATGTCGTTGGTGAGAAGTTGTTTCTGCGTTTAGAGAAATGTGGAAATAGGTTCACAGTTTACCAATGAAGTGTCTGCCAATAAAGACATCATTGATGAGGAACTTCTTGGATGACATGGTGATTGGTGGGACATTTGAACATCTGTTTAGACTGACATGAGCTTAAAGAATAGAGAGTAGGCTTGAAGGGTTAAATTGCCTACTCCTATTTTATGACCTGTGTACTCTGTAAATGCATCACTTCCTGTTTTCAGAAATTTCTGACCCATAATCATTAAGTTCTTTGAAGATTTAATATCCTGTAATAGAATGTAAATAGTCATACAATTATACAGTACAGAAACAGACCTTTTGGTCCAACTCATCTGCACTGAAATATCATATCCAGGCGCCAAGCTAGCTATTTTGTATAATATGCAGAGTTGTAATGTAATGCTAAAACACTTTTCAAAAAAATGTTGCGACTTGAATTACAATAAAGATTTATTTTCTTTAGTCATTTTTAATAACTTGGTTTGTAATATTTACTCATAGGTGCCATGTCTGTGTAGCAGTGCACCTTGTTTGCTGTGTACCTGCTGCCCCAACAGTAAGAATTCCACAGTGACCAGATTAATCTATGCATTCATTCTACTTGTGGGCACGCTTGTGGCTTGTATTATGCTGGCACCTGGAATGGAAACTCAGTTGAAAAAGGTACGTTTTAGGTAATGATTCCTGAGTAGAAGAAACTTGAAGACAGTAGCTCTGCGCTCCACTTTTGATGGAATGCATTAATATAAAAATTTTGGATAGTACTTTTTATCTCTATTACTAATTCCATTCGCACCACCTATGTTAAGCAGATGGGATACTAAAATTAAATGGATCATTATTTTTCCTAATTGTCATACTTTTAAAGATCTTTGGCATTTGTTTTGCTCCTTTACACTTTGTTTAGTTAACTAACATAAAATATTAGGGAAAGTCAGCAGCATCTGTGGAGAAAGTAACAGCTAATGTTTCAAATTAGGTATGACTCTTTGCCGAGCTCAACTTTTATTTTAAACCAGTATCTGCAGTGTTCTGCTTTTATGTTTAGTTAAGCTTATTTGTGATAAAACTTTTACTGTAGCTAAGTATGTTATGTTGTATATCATTCAAAATAATATTTTTGGGTGCATGTATGAAACCCAAATAACATGTTACGTAAACAGTCCAATTGGACAATAAACTGAAGCTCTTCTATCTGTTAATCCATCATAGATCTTTGGTGATCTTCCCAAAAGGAAATGGTGGAAGATAGGAGGGAGTGGGGGAACAAAATCTGAAATTGGTGGAAAAAACTCGGCAGGCCTGGCAGCATCTGTGGAGAGAAAGTAGAGTTGATGTTTTGGGTCCAGTGACCCTTCAGGGAGTGGGAAACTTTGACTTGGTATTCGCTTTGTTTTGACGAGAAACATTATTGAATGTTCATGCTTCTATTTTGGAATTCATCTAGTTCTGAAAATATATTTACTGTGAACCAAATGGAATGGACACATTGCCAAACTCCATGGGTAATTTAAATTTGAGTGAACAGTATCCACTTGTATTAAACAGAACAGTCCTTTCATAACTTGACAGAATCATCAAGTTGGGGAAGGTAATTTGGTTCAACTTAGTTTATCCATATTTAAAATATAAACCTACCACTTTCCATGCCATTGACTAGGTTTCATAATGGCTGATGTTTCTGCTGATATTCTTTGAAATTTATTCTAAGTGATTTCTTTTTGGATGAAAAAATTGCTTTCTGATGTGACTCCTAAACTTGCATTTCATTTTGGACCCATTTCCTCGTGTCTTCCTATTGGGTTTATTTGGAAGTAACATCCTGCTTAATCTTTCCTATAATGTTTGATATTTATACACTGTTACAAGAGGGTTTGGGGAGGAGAAAGCATTGGAGCAGTGGGTAGATAAGTGTGAGACCAGTGCAGTTCCTCTGAAGTAAATAATAATGGATTAGCATTTGAAGATGAAGATAACGGGCAGCCATATTAGCCTGGATTTAGGTGTACTACAATTACAGACATATGATTGGTGACTTTATTTATGGTTGTTTCAGTGCTGAAACAGGGATGGAAACTAACTTAAAGAACTTCAACCATAGAATTGCATGAAAAATGGAAATGACAAGTTATACAGTGTGGAAGCAGGCCATTTGGCCCATCGAGTCTACACTGACTCTCCGAAGAGCATCTCACCCCCTACCCCTGTAACCCTGCATTCCCAAAGGCTAACCCACCTACCCTGCACATCCCTGGACGCTAAGGTCAAATTAGCATGGCTAATCCACCTCACCTGCACATCTTTGGACTGTGGCAGGAAACCAGAGCACCCGGATGAAATCCCATGCAGACACAGAGAGTGTGCAAACTCAACACAGACAGTTGCCTGTAGTTGGAATCGAACCTGGGTCCCTGGCACTGTGGGGCAGCAGTGCTAACCACTGAGCCACCATGTTGACATTTAATCATCCTTCCACTCTTTCACAAACCTTTCCTGCCTCCCTACTTCACTGTAATTGACATAGTACATTACCAGTTTTTCTCTCCATAGATTTTGCATGGCTGGATGTTTCTAGGATTTTCTGCCAATGTTGACATCTGTTACTCATCAGTTTTCCTTCTTCTTGTCCATTCCCCATTCATGCAATCCTATTCATTTTCACTATTTTTCATGCGTCTGATTTGGTGCCTAAGCAAACTTTGGTTTTGTTCCTTTTATGTTTGGTGTCTGAATTATTTGTATAAATGGTCCCTTACAAAGGGTTTCTACAATATTTTAGGAAGTATATCACTAATATTCTTAGAATTTAAAGAGACTATTTACCTTGTTATGGACCAGACCAGACCCCTCAAAATATTTTAAGAAAGTAGCCTAGATCCAACTTCTTATTTTAAAGGTAGATGTGAAATGCGTGTTCCAGATGTGATGCGACTGGTCAAACCACTCGATGTTAAGTAGAACACAATCTATTTAAACATTATGCTTAAAATACAAACAAAAGAAAGAGGAATTTAGAATAACCTAACTATTGAAAAACTTAACCAAATAATAGATACAGTACCTATTACTAAATAACTGTACCAATAGCATCCCATAAAGACACCCTTTGGCAAAAAGGTAAGTTTTATTCTTGCATGCAGTTCTCAAATCCAGGAGGGAAAAACGTCGAGAGATTTCAGAGAAAGTCATAGTTAGGAATCATTTACTGAATTTCCAACTCTTCTGGGACCCAAACAGCTTCTGACTGCTATAGTTAAGAAAAAACTAGAAAGCCTGACCTGTCAGAACTAGCCACTCTCCTTCCATTGTTATGACTATTTTTAAAAAACCTAAATGCGTCCTAAACTATTGACATTGGCCATTAGCAGTAGCTGCTCCGACTCTTCTGCCTTTACAACCTCTTCAAAAAAAACACCCAGGACGGAATAACCTTTTTAAAGTGACAGCATTGTAACAGCCTCTTTGTTTCTGATTGTATACACACTTCTGTTTTTGGATGAGGTCCCTTTAACAGCATTTGCTTTTTTTTGTGACAATTAGCAAATATCCACCAAAATTCCACACATACAGCGCTCATTGTGTTCTCTTTATGGATATTGTGATGTCCTCAGTAAATGTCATTTAAAGATAAGTTTCATCTTGAGCTGGTTAAGGAGTCAGGAGGTATCTGGCCTTTTGGCGTCCAGTTTTGGGTAAAGTGGAGTGGGATGATGGGAGTAGAGGGAACGTTAATTGAAAGGTGAGTGACTGGAACAAAGTGGAGGGGGAGAATAAAGGGTTTAACTGAATGATTCAAAGAAGTGAAAATAGGGATGCAGAGATATGAGGGTGCTGTGAAAAGCAATAGTTAATGAAGCAGGGAATTTGATAAAGTCGGGAGTGAAGATGTGAAGAAGGAAATACATTAGCCTTCTCCCAAACTGCAGCCTTTAGCCAATAGTAATTCCTTTCTCTTTCATGCATCATATCGCCGACTGCCACCTACCCAGAAGGAAGAGAGATAATTGGAAAAGGATGGAGAAATAATAAGAATTACATTAGAAGCAGAAGTATAGACATGAAAGTAGAATAGGCAAAGCAGAGAATCAGTAAGATGAAAGCTTCACAGTTAATTGCAAGATCATTATTCTTTTTCCAAATCCATGGATAATTAGCTGGTATAATGAGGAATAAGTAAAGGAAGAACATTTAGTTAACTTATAATTTAGATGAAATTTGATACTTCTTTTTTGATAGATTCCGGGATTCTGTGAAGATGGCTTTGGTACCCAAATTCCAACTGTTCATGGGGCCGTGAACTGTGATGTATTAGTTAGCTACAAGTCTGTTTACCGTATATGCTTTGGATTGGCTGTCTTCTTCTTTCTTTTCTCTCTGCTTTTGATCAATGTGAAATCCAGCAGGGATCCCAGAGCTGCAGTGCATAATGGGTAAGTAGTCTTGTTTATGTTCAGAATTTGGAAATGAAATAAGAGAAGCTAAATATTTATTGAAAAAGTATTTCTTCTGCTGATGAAACTCCCAGGCTTGCAGTTGATAAAACTGTCCTGTTTATGTGACAAGATTATTTTAAAATAGACGCAATGGAGGATGTGGGTAAAACAGTACCCGGTTGAGTGGAGGATGGAGATGGTGATTGATAGGATGACTGATCCCTAATCACAGGGATGGAAGGAGTTCAGTGAGTGTTTTTGTTCCCTAACGCTAGAGGGGAGAAGGGAAGGTGCTTGAGCTGATGAGGACAGCTCGGGAAGCTGAAGGACAGAATTCAGATTCTTCCTGAAGCTGTCTTTTTGACTGAGTTTGCTGACTGTTGGTCAATAACTGTTAAAAATGTGAAACAGCTTTAATCATGGGCTGTAGCGTCAAATTGTTAATGGCCCATCCTATCTCCTGGAAGCAAATGTTTGCTTATTCATTGTCCTGCTTCCATTAAACTTGGAACTCAGTGGATTGGCGTTTGAAAATTTTCAACGTTTAACATCTGTTTATTCTAGCCCACCTGTTTTTGGCGGTTAAGTGGCAGCCTTTTGACTCTACAGTTGATTGGGTTTGATCAAATGATTTATCTCTGTGTTTTCAAAGTTGCCCTTTTTGTGAGTTTTAATTGTTACTTTTTTTGCTTTTGACAGATTTTGGTTCTTCAAGATAGCTGCCATCATAGCTATTACTGTAGGAGCTTTTTACATTCCTGAAGGACCTTTTACAAGAGGTAGAGCAATAAGATGACTTTTAAGGGGAAGAATGTTGGTGTCTGTTTGTAACTTTCTTGTTAAACTAACTTTGATTTCATTTATTATTCTCAATGTACCTAGGTATAGTAAAAAGTTCTGCTTTGCATGCATACTTAAAATAATACCATCTTAATAAGTGGAAGGAAGGTTTGATTTCTAACTATTTAGAATGTGACAAACAACAGCTTTTTCCTACAGACTGCTGTTGGAAACTGAAATGAGTACCGTGCTAAAAATATCCAGAAGGCCAGGCAGTTTATGTGGAGAGAAACAAGTAATGTTTCAGGTTGAAGACCGACTAAGGAAAGATAGAAATATAATAGGTTTTGAGCAAGTGAATAGAGTGAGGAGGGATAAAGGGTAGAGCCTGTGATAGGATGGAGAGCAAGAGAGACAAAATGACAGGACTTAATGTTAGAAAAACCAAATGGGATGGTGATGGATAATGTAACAATCTAGATGAGATGCAAGTATTTGGATAGCAAGTATTTGGATAGCAGTCATTTGAATGCAAAGTAAAGGGATGTAAGAAAGAAATGAGGAATTAAAAACAAACCAGAAATAAATCAGATTCTGATCTCAAGTTGTTTAACAGGAAAAGGCAGGTAGATGAAGATAAAATATTTCCATTGATTGGCGATTCTAGAACTGGAGCATATTGTCTGAGAACTAGGACTAGACTGTTGAGGAGAGATGTTAGGAAGCTCTTCTACACGTAATGAATGGTAGAGGTTTGGAACTTTCTTCCACAAATGACAGTTGCTGCTAGATCAGTTGTTAGTTTTAGATCTGAGACTTTTTTTTGTTAAGCAAAGGTATTAAGGGATATGAGCCAACACTAGTTATGTGAAGTTAGGCCACAAATCAGCCATGAACAAGGGTCTAAATGGCCTATTTCAGTTCCTAGGTTCCTCAGTGTTGAGTCCAGAAGACTGTAGAATGAAGAGTCGGAAGATGAGCTTCTTGACTTTCGTTAGAACTACATTAGCAGACCACAGATAGAAGGGTTTGGAGCAAGGTGGAGAATGGAAATGGCCAGTGACAAGAAGCTCGGAGTAATATTTGTGGACTGAATAAAACGCAAAGTGGTCACCCAGTCATGTGGGTGGGTTCTGAAGAAGCATGACTGGACTCGAAATGTTCACTATGCTTTCTCTGGACAGATGCTGCCAGACCTGCTGAGTTTCTCCAGTAATTTCTGTTTCACCCAGCCAAAGTTTGGTTTCCCAGTTGTCGAGTAGACCAAATTATAAGTAATGAATGCAGTATACTAAATGGAAAGAAGTAAAATTATATCATTGTTTCACTTTGAAAAGAATGTTTGAGGCATTGGATGGTGAAAATGGAGGAGGTAAAAGGCTGATGTTGCATCTCCTGCAATTGCATGGAGACATGATCTTTGTTATTTCTTTGGGAATGCACTCAAATCAATTGCAATACAGTCTACACTGTCACATAACTAGATGTTTATCAGTCTATACGGTGAAAGTTCTCCACTTTATTGTTCTCGTTTTATCCTATTCCTATGCTGTACTGTTCTGTGTTCTTTGTTCCCTTGATCACACTAATGAGTACTATTTGAATTTAACCACAGCATTCTAGCCCTAAACAGTTTTTTTTCTTGCACAAGATACTCTTTCTTTTCTTCTTCATTTTTCGGTATCAGTTAGCTATTTCTCATTTTTGTTTTAATATATTTGAGAGATTTTGGTGCTAGTGCACATCCTCCTTTCTTTGTGAGTAACATCAACCTAAGAAAAACTATTTTGCTTTTAATCTCATCCTCTGGTACCATGGCTCAGTGGGTAGCACTGCTAACCAGGGACTGGGTTTGATTCCACCCTCTGGTGACTGTCTGTACGGAGTTTGCACATTATTCCCGTGCCTACTTGGGTTTCCTCCCACAATCCCAAGATATGCAGGTTAGTTGGATCGGCCATGCTAAATTGTCAGTAGTGTCCAGGGATGTGCAGGCTGGGTGATTAGCCATGGGACATGTAGGGTTACAGGGACAGGGTGGTGGGTCTGGATGGAGTGGTGAGTCTGTGTGGGATGCTCTTCATAGGGTCAGTGTGGACTCGATGGCCCTAATGGCCAGCTTCCACACTGTAGGGATTCTATATATACTGTTGGTCATCTGTGGCCCAGAGTCATTCATTCTGGTTTGTGTACATTTGAGCCCAGGTGAGCCAGAACCTGCTTGTGTGGATAGTCCCCTTTGGTTCAACGTCTGAAATTTATTATAGAAATGCAATAGTAGAGAAGACAAAGAAACAAAAACTGTAAGAGGAATGAAGTGAAAGTACAATCAAGTAAGAAAATAGGAGAGAAAAAGGTTGCGAATTGAAAGAGAAAGAGATGAAAGGGGAAAGTTATTTTGATGTTAAACATCTAGTTTACTAAATTAATGTTTTTCTTTCTCTTCTGTTTGCCACCCCCCTCCACCTGCCCACCTTAGCCTTGTTTGCCATTGGTACAGCCGGTGCATTCTGCTTCATACTAATCCAGTTGGTTTTGTTGGTTGATTTTGCTCATTCGTGGAATGAGTCATGGGTAGGAAAGATGGAGGATGGGAATTCGAAATGTTGGTATGCAGGTGAGTGATTAGTAAAAATCTGTACTTGGAGCAAGCGGTTTTTAGCATCTTAGGATTTGGTTGGAAGCTGAATGTGCTTTTGTAGATTTGCAATAAAATCAACATAATGAATTGAAACTGTTTAATTTGTTTGTAATAAGTTCGTTAATATTAAATTGGGATTTCTGATAGCATAGATGTTTATGGAAAATGTTGGTGTTAATACACTGCATTCCTGCAGTGTGTCCTCCTCAATTTATTTAGGTTATGCGTCTTAATTTTCCAGTAACAAGGTCAAATGTATGTTTCAGCTAACAAACATTTTCATACAGGGATTATTAAAGTATTTTACCACACTAGAGTACTATATACCTAAGGGAGCATTTCTTGGCTGAGAGGAAGTGCATTGAGGGTTCACTAGAATATCACTTAGATGAGGGGATTTTTCTGTGAGGAGAGGTTTTGTAGATTAGGCCTGTGTTCTCCAGAATGAGAGATGATCTAATTGAAGCAAACTCTTGAGGGACTTGACCCTCTAAATTTGGAGAATAATGTCCCTTTGGAAGTTGGTACTATAGTCATAGGCTTAATTAGGTGTTTACCATTTAGGACGGAGTTGGGGGTGGGGGAAAAAGAGCCTTTTCTCAAAAGGATTAAAAATCTTTGAATTCTTTCCTCTGACACAGTTGTGCAGAATCGACATTCAAACCAGAAATTAAGAGTTTTGGGACTAAGGGAATTAGTGGATATGGAAACAATGTGAAAAGGTGGAGATGAGGCTAATTAGCTATGATTGTATTGAATGATGGAGCAGTCTTGTAGAGTCTAATGAACTGTTCCTCCTATAATGTTATTTCAACAGTTGAGAGAAAGTATGATCATAAATGGAAATCAGACATCAGGATAAATGTTGTAGAGTAGTAGGTATTTTAAAATGTGTAGCAATTAATGTAATATAGGATAAAATATTGTCTATTCAATTGAATGCTATATGTGCAAAATGAATTTGCTTCTAGGAACTATCTTAATGGGCAAATGGCCTTTTTTAATTCCTGAATTTTTAATTTTCTTACCTTTTTAAACTCAGATAAATGTTAAAAAGTGAGAAGAATTTTCATTGATACTTTTACCAAAGAACTAATCTTGTCTTTTAAGTTGTAGAGGAGAAATTTCAATTTAAGCTATTTAATGAATTGGACATAGAAATTGGATTTCTCAATTTTTCACATTCTTTTGTTAGTGTAAACCTTTTAAAAATACCCTCCTCCTCAACAACACTGTCCAATTCATTTTTTACCCTGCTCCATGTACTTTTTGGCCTCCACCCAGGAAAAATGCAGTGATACCTCTAGATATGCATGTTATCAGAAAGCAATTGATAGAATTTGAGTATGGAGCAAATTGTAAAAGTAGTAGTATTTCATACGTACTTCACAAAGGTTTAAGCTAGCGAATATTGTGGTTGTATTTAACCTACTTGACTAGAGTATGGTGATCAAAATATTTCTTTGCTCTGTCACATTGAGATCAACTTGCATCTTAGATACTTTAACTGAATTGTAGAGTTGTTACTTTAAATTATAACATACTTAACCCTTTTTCATTTCCTTTTCAGCCTTGATCTCTATCACTGGCCTGAATTACATCTTGTCTTTCACAGCAGTTGTGCTTTTCTATGTGTTTTACACAAAATCCGAAGGATGTGTTGAGAACAAGTTCTTCATTAGTTTCAATATGATCCTTTGCATTGTTGTATCTATTACTTCTATTCTTCCAAAAGTACAGGTAAAAATATAATATGCACTTCCTCTTTTCCTGATGGTTTTGTTCTCAAACCACAATTTAATGTAAAAACATAGAATTATTCTAAGTTCACCATATAATTTGTTCTTAAATCAGTTGATTGGAAACTTATGAGTATCTAAAATGGTTTTCTCCTAATGTTCAACTTGCATTGAGGGTTAGACTCGTATTTTATGAGAAACATGTTTAAATTGTGAAATAACTACAACTGAATATTCCTGGAAAGTAAGACTTGCTATTTAAGGTGAGTGCACCATCAGTCGGCAGTGTATGTTTAGAAGTTTGTTTTGCATGCTGAAGAGATCTCTGATTTTCAACCGTAACTGATTGTGGAGCTCCGACATGTGATAGAATTAGTGTTTTCCAGATACTTCTATAAGATTTGAATTTTGCCTGAGCTGAACTTATTTCTGTAATGCTATTTTCAGCTTTTAAGGCTTTTTGTCTGGTCTGTTGAGTTCAGTGATACCAATCATATTTAAAAATTGGTTGTGGATTATCTTGTGGTCCAGAAGTACACCTTTCATTACATGTGTGTAGTCAAATGATAGAATGGTTTAGCAGAACCCTTCATGTACTAAAATGTATTCTCCTACTATGAGAATTAATCTGCTGATGATCTTCACCACTGCACTGACTAATTCCTTGTAATGTAGGATTTATTTGCTCTGTTTCTTGTTAAGATTTGTCAAAATGGAATGTATTAACTTGGGGTCCTGAATGTTTATGCATTGTTAGAATATTTTACTAAACCATAATGTTTTTGCATTTATAGGAAGCACAACCTCGGTCTGGTCTTCTTCAGTCTTCAATCATCACACTGTACACTATGTATCTCACGTGGTCTGCGATGTCTAATGAACCCGGTAAGCCTCCAAGTATGGCACTGAATGCTAAACTTCTGGATTAGACTGATTTTTTTTTTGAGTTGGCATTACAATGCAAACAAAATAAAATCACAAATCACAAATAGATCACTTCAATACTTTGTTATTTAAAACCTAAATTATTGAAGTGCAAACCTAATTTTGATTGACTAACTTTAAAACATTGCTGTTATAGAGACCTTAGCCAGGATTTAGATTTGCTGTTGGGGTCAGGAAGAGGTGTAGGCAGGATTTAAAAATTGCATTCCTTGAGGGCCCACTGGATTTTGTTGCTTCTGTAACATGATGCAATTTTCAAAGGGAGAGCAGGACTGTTGGAAACAGGGAAACCCATTCATTTACAATTTATAGTCTATTAAGTTCCTTGAAAAACCTAACTAGCCAGGAGGGCAAGATTTTCAAAGCTGAAATAGCTAAAGGTGAATTATTTATTAGTTTTAATATTAGTACAGCTGTTGAGTTCAAGGTGATCAGAAGTTAAAGATTTTTTTCATATTGAAAAGTATTGGGGGCTGAAGATCTTACTCCAGATTATGCGCTTTACTGTTTATTTGACTGCATGGCCACATTGTGAGACTACTGGCTGTCCAAATTGCAATCTACTTGCTGTCTTCTGCAAGATAGTGGTGGACAACATATGGTTGCCATCTGCCTTTGCAACTTCTGTCCCACTTCTAGTAGTGCTTGACACCACTACTTGGGCATCAATTTCATCTCTGGCCCAATTAGGATATTTGCATCATGCAGTTGCAATGCAAGATCAGAATTTGAAAATTATCCATGTATTGGGTTCCTAATCACAATTTGAAAATTCAGTTTCACGTGTGTAATGCAAATTTAAAATTTTATTTTTCTTGGGTGTATAAATACCAAATGTATTGGGTCTGATTTAAACTTTAAGTGGGTTGATTTTCAATGGACCTGTTATTTATACAAAATTTTTTCAGGCTGTTAGTTAGAGGTTCTAATTATTCTGTTTCTACAGTTTACGTTTCATTAATGAGCTTTAAACCCATTGTTTACATAAACACCCACTTCAAATGAATATAATTTGTAGATTAATACCTTTTAAACTAAGACCTGTGCTTTATTTTTCAGACCGACAGTGCAATCCTAGCCTTTTGAGCCTTATTAAACAGTTGGCCGCCCCTACATTGAGTCCAGCCAATAAAAGTGAACCTTCAGTAAATGTAACACCTTCACCTCCAATTTCAGTGCAATGGTGGGATGCACAGAGTATTATTGGACTTGTCCTCTTCATTCTGTGTCTACTATATTCAAGGTAAGGTCCTGACGACAAATGTTTAAACCACATTGTTGAAGTTTAAGGCCAGGTAGATTATTTCAGTGTTAATATTTTAAATTCAGCTGTTAATTGGAATTGTATGGGTGCCAAAATTGTGTTGGATGGCCAATGCAAATGGTCCATAACCTGAAGCAACCTAACTTACCTCTTGGAATAAAGCATTTAGCTCAAAACATTTAGTTGTTGACCAGTTTTGGCAGGACATGAAAGCTAAATTCCCATCAAAAAGATTTGTAAATGTATCAATATTAATTGTATCCATTTTGAAATTGGTGGGTTTGAAAGATGTATACTGAGATAAAATAGGGGAAAATTGCATTTGCACCCAAAAGTGGACATACAGAATGGGGGATTTCCATGTTAGATTGAGGCAAATTTCGTGGGCCTCATTATTGAACCTTCAAGCTGGGGACACCTAATCGGTGTGCTCAGCAGCTCATAGGAAAAGAAACTTTGAAAGTTGAGCGATTATGTTATTGATGAAAGCAGCCCTCTGACAAGTCCTTAAAAGTGGACCAGAAAAGGAGTGTAGCAGTGGTTTGTAGGGGGCTAGTGGGTAGGGAGATTGAACTACCACAACAGATTCCTAGGGTGCACAACTTGCAGCATCAGACAAGTTTTCCACCCCACGCTTTGTGTCCGACATCAAGTCAAAGGCAACACCTAATTCTGTGTTCTATTTTTTGTTTATCTCTTGATTGGAAACACTGCCTTCTGGAAATCCAGGTAGGATAACCTTCAGAGATTCACTTATTTACCTTAGTGGCACTGTCTCAAAACAAATAACTCGTCATACGTAATCAGCTCCAATCTATGTTCAGTCATTCTATCCCTACAACAGACTCTAATAACTTCCCCACACCCAATGTATAACTTAAGTCTATTGTTACTTGTTTTTCACCTCTCACCCTTTTTTAAATCATGGAGGGACATTTGTAAATTTCCAGTCTAATGGCAAAATTTCACCTCTGGAAAGGCTTTAAAGATCATAACCAAGACTTGTGCAGTTTTCTCAGTTCTTTTAATAGCCTGGCATGGAAACCATCGTGTCCTGGAGATTTATCTACCTAACTCTCTATCTTTTCTATTAACATTTCCCTTGTGGATAAAATTACTTTCTCCCTTGGTTTGTTTTCAGTTTCATACTTATCACTGATACTTTATCCTGTTGCTCAGTTATGCAAAACAGATACAAAACACTTGTTTAATAACTCATTCAGTTACTGTTTTAATTATAGTATAATTTGTGCCAATCTTTGGGCACGAAGATCCCTTAGCCACTCTCATTTTTAATATACTAATATAATACTACCTTTTAGCTTTACCGTTACTTGCATATTTTCTCTTTGCAGTGCTTTTTATTTTCTTTGTTTCTTTGTTGCTTCATGCATTTTTCCAGTCTGCTGATTACTGCTTTTCTTGGCATTTACGCAAACTTCTTTCTTTAGCTTCATATTGTGTCTTACTTTACATGTTGACCTAGGTCAATTGATTGTACAAGTGGAATGTCATGTATTTATCTTGCAGATAGTTCTTTAAATAACTCACTGTTCTTTTGTAGATTTGTTAACCTTCCACAATTTTAATATGTTCATCTTATGACTCCTTTCTCCAACGTCAGCCTTGCTCAGGTTGAAAATCTCGGTTTGTGTGTGATCTTTCCTATTCCAAACTTTAATTTTGCATTGCTATTTTGGTGTGGACACTTTATAGATACTACCTTGCTGTCAATTTGCTAATTAATTTTGCCTTATCACAAAATCTAGCTTAGTTTGCTCTCCTTTCAGTTTTAAAATAGTCTCAATATTTTATTGCATTGGGGCTAGGGTGGAATCCATTAATCCTTGAAACAGGAATTCTTTCTGAATTTTCGAATGAGACCTCTTTTAGGCTGGCCACTGTGACAGAAAGTCAGTGCCTGAAAAGCTGCAGCTGGGATAGATCCTAAGGTGAAAAGGTCAGTGAGCAATCAGACCAACATTTGAGGTGGATGGGTAGGATTAGAGGTATCTGGAAGGGTGCAGACTTTGTGTGGAGCGTTAAGATTAGCGTTCAGAAGGGAATGGCAAAGACCACAGGTTGAAGAGTTAGATAAACTAGCAGGAAGAAGGGTTTTGCAGAGATTGCAGGTTTGTTGTGGAGGAGGCTGCTTAACTGAAGACTTGAAACAGCTTTTGAATGTTCACAGATTTGTGTGAAAATTAAAATCTGTAACTATGATATGTACTCTGTAGATGGAGGGTTGAAAGTTGACACCGGAAGATGTACTTCTGGATGGTCTTTGAACTTCTTGTTGCAATTACGTTCATTCAAACAAGTGGTGAACATACCTCCACTTTTGTCTTGGGCCTTATAGCTCAAGAAACTTTGGAGATTGTGGGAGAGCCATTCATTACAAAATATACAACTTTTTGATTTTGTTAATATGGCAGATCAATTTAAGCCTTCGGTTATTGGTGACTGGCAAAGTATTGATTATGTTGGACATGGCATTAATGCTGTTGAAGATCAAAGAGATAGGTCTTGTCTGACCCTTGGTTACATGAGTGTTACATGAGTGTTACTTGGAAGTTTTCTACTCATATGGATGTTATCCAGGTCCTTTTGCATGATGCCACAGAATGTTTGTGTATGGAGATGAACACTGATTATCTGAAAAACTGTCTCAGTCTGTGCCTTCAGGTAAAAGCAAAATACTGTGGATGCTGGAACTGTGAAAGAAACAGAGCGCTAGAAAATCTTATCAGGTTTGGCAGTATCTGTGGAGAGAGAAATGGTTAATATTTCGAGTCTAGTATGACTTTTCTTCAAAACTGTGTTTCCTCGGGTTGTAATCATTGTCCTCTCAACTGCAGTAATCTTCCATTTTGAGTAAAGTATAACTCAACTTATAGAGGATTTTCCTTTTTAACTATCTTATTTTTTCAAACGTATCTTGTTTCGAGACCTGTTGCCGCTTTAATGTGAAGAAGAGCAGATCTCAGTACTCCTAAATTAGTTAAATTTAATGTTAATGCTGTTCCTGCAATATGCCAGTTGAAATCAAAATTTATTTTAGTCTGGAGGTGAGCATAATTGTCAAGGCTGGCATTTATTGCCCATTGATCTTAATGGATGTGAGCTGCCATCTTGAACTGCTACAGTTCAAGTGGGGGTACACCAGCAGTGTGCCAGGGAATTTCCGGCATTTGACCCAGCAATAGTGTAGGAATGGTAGCGTTTCCAAGTCAAGATGGTGTGTGGTTTGGACAGGAACTTGCATGTGGTGGTGTTCCCATACATCTGCCTTCCAGGTAGCAGAGGTTCAGAACTTCAGAGCTTCAGAAGTTCCTACCTCCTTCATATGGTGCATGCTGCTGTCATAGGAGGAGGTAGTTGTCCAGCGAGCAAAAGGTTGGACATGCTAGACTTGTGTCCACTGGAGTTCAGAAGAGTAAGATTTGACTTGATTGAAACATAAAAAATCCTGACTGATCATAACAGGGTAGATGTGGAGAGGATGTTTCCACTTATAGGAGAATCTGTAACTGGTGGTCACTGTTTAAAAATCAAGGATTGCCATTTTTTAATATTCTTTCACAGAATGAGGGCATTGCTGGCTAGGCCATCATTTATTTCTTAAACTGCCCTGTAGCCAAGTAGGGATAAGAGTCAATGTTGATAATGCCACTGACCATCACCTCCGCAGAAACGGAGATTAGGAGAATCTTTTCTCTTGGGAGGTTTGGAACCTTTGGAACTCTTTCCTGATCAAATAGCAGAAGCAGAGTCCTTGAATATTTTAAGGCAGAATTTATTAAGAAGTCGAAAGGTTATCCGAAGTGGGCAGCAATGGGGATGTGAAGTTACAATCAGATCACACATGAATAATTATTGAATAACAGCAGCCTTAAGAGGCTGATTGATCTATTTCTGTTCCTGGTTCGCATGTGCTAGTAATGGAGGTAGTGAAGGTCTAAATAGTGGGTGGGTGTTGATCAAATAGGCTACTTTTTTATGTGTTAAGTTTCTTGACTTGTTGGATTTTATCAGCTAGGTATTCCATCGTCACATATTTCAGAATCACGGACATGTTTTGGTGCATCGTGGCTGCACTGGCTCTTCAAATGAGTATCAATACCAACTACCAATTTTGTGTTTTCTTTTTTCTTTTCATACTCATGCATTTTATTTTAATGATCATCCAGTATCCTCTTGAATGCCTCAATTGAATATGCCTCCTCTACACTTCCAGATAATACATTCCATACTCCACCTACATAGTGTGAAAATTTCTTTCTATCTTGTAGGTGGTGGGCATGGTTTGGAGGAACCAGGAGATGAGTTATTCACCACAGAATTTCCACGCTTTGACCTGCTGTTGTAACCACAGCAATTATGTGGCTAGTCCAGTTTTGTTTCTGGACATATTAGTGGTGGGGGAGTTCCATATTGGTAATGTTGTTGAATGACAATTTTCGATGGTTAGATTTCGCTCTTGTTGAAGGTGGTTGTCGTCTGGCATTTATATGGCACAAATGTTAGTTGCCACTTGTGAGCCCAAGCCTAAATGTTGTCCAAGTCTTGCTGCAGCTGGGCACAAACTGCCTCAGTCTGTGAGGTGTGACGAGTGATCCTAAATATCATCATTGAACATTCCTACTTCTAACCTTTGAGGGAAGATCAGTAATGAAACAGCTGAAAACGTTTGTGCCCAGGACACCATCCTGAGGAGGTCCTTCAGGGATGACTGGGATGATTGGGCTGGTAAGATCTCAGTCATCATCTTTTATGCCATGTATGATTCCAACCAGTGGAGAGTTTGCCCCGATTTTGTTATTTTCATGTTACTGAGACTCCTTGATGATGAATTCTGTTAAATATCGCATTGGTGTCAAAGGCATTTATTCTCTCCTCGCCTTGGGAATTTACCTGTTTTTGACAATGTTTGAAGTAAAGCTGTAATATTTAGACCTGATTGATCCCAATTCAACATTAGTAAGCTTTGTAAATGATGCTTAATCACATTGTCAACAATATCTTTCATCCTGTTTGAGATTTGAGTTTAGACTTTTGAGGCAGTATTTGCTGGATCAACTTTTTCCTGCCTTTTGTGAACAGGATGAAACCTGTACGATTTTCCACATCATTGGATGGATGTCACTGTTGTCCAACACAGCTTGACCAGTCCATGGCTCATTTTGCTGCCTCAGTGTTGTCAGGTTTATAGCCTTTCCGTATCCAGAAAACTGCCGTCAACTGCTTCTTGACATATGGATTGAACCAAATTAGCTCAAGACTAATGTCTGTTACTGGGAGCTGCAGGGAAAGTCAAAATGGATAGCCACTCTCCGTTTTACCCGAAGTAATTGCAAATATTTCAGTTTTGCATTTTGCACTGAAGTCATAGGCTCCCTTATTCTGTTGTTGGGTCATGTAGTTGTTTAACTTTTATTGCATGTAGATCAGCTGTTTGTATGCATGTCGTTCTGTGCTATAGCTTTGCTGAGTTGGTGCTTCATGTTTAGATATGCTTGGTGTTGCTTTGCTGATTATTGTATTTTTCTGTTTACAGCATTCGTTCCTCGAACAACAGCCAGGTGAACAAGCTAACACTATCGGGCAGTGAAACTGTCATGTTGGATGACTCTTTGGCTGGAGATGCTGTTGGTGTTGAAGAGGGAGATGGAATACGAAGAGTCCATGACAATGAACAAGATGCAGTCCAGTACAGCTATTCATTCTTCCATTTCATGCTTTTTCTGGCTTCACTTTACATTATGATGACACTTACAAACTGGTACAGGTAAACAATTGCAAAGGCTTCTTTCCAAAAGGTTTATTATTTTTTGGTTTAAAACTTAATATAATTTTACAAATTTAAAATCTGTCTTAGTCAGTTCTGAGTGAGAGGTACGGTACTAATGTACTCAAATTTAAACATTGTGCTTCCTTTACTTTTAAATAACTTCTTACAATAGAACTCAAACAGTGTTTCCTCATTACTTAGTTTTGACAGAATATGTGTATATTCAGAATAGGTTGATGTGATGGATAAATTCTCATTGAAGCAACATCAGTATTATAGGCTTATAGTTTGAGAATAGAATAATTTCACAATTGTAACAATAATATGACAAACAAAGCAAAACTTATACATGAAGGAGATCAGGTGGATTTTATCTGTGCTCTGCCCCTTGAGCCTTGCTGCAGTCTGCTTGTTAATTTTGTTCCTTTTCTCTTGTTTTAGCACTGCTGTGCTTTCTGGAACTGATGTGTGCTTATTTTTAAACATTAAATTTAATTATTTACATAATAGATCTAGATCTAATTAAAAGGGAAAAAGCATAAGGCTATGGGGAAAGAACAGTAGTCTCACACTTATTGAATAGCTCGATTCAAGAATTGGCATGGGAATGGTGGACCAAAGGTGCTAATATCCAATTCTTCAAATTGGCACTTGGAGACTATAAAAGGGTAACAGAAAATTTCATATAGATGCACAGATGGAAGAGTCTCATCATTGGTTCTGATTTAAGACACACTGAATAGAGTAAAATGAGTTTTACTTATGAGGTCATAAAAAGTACAACCTGGAGTCAACTACTTGCCCACCAGTCTTGCTCAATTATTCATGGTCAGTCTTTGGCTTTTACTGAACTTACCTGCATGTTCCCCATAACCCTGACTCCCTTGTCAATCAGTCATGTGCCTAACTGGAATATATTCAAGGACCCAGCCTCCACAGCTCTCTGGAACAAGATTCCAAGAGCAAACACTCCTCTGAGCAAAAATAAATTCCTCATCTGTTTTAGTTGGGAAACTTTTTAGTTCTAGATCCTCTAACAAGAGGAAACATCCTCCCAGCAGCTACCCTATCAAATCCTCAGTTTTCAATGAGATTACTTCTCATTCTGAACTTCAGAGATCTGCTTAACCTTTCCATCCAATACAACTCCTTTATCTGAGGAATCTGCATCATGAACGTTCTCTGAACTACCTTCAATGCATGTATATGCATAACTAAAGTAAGGCAATTGAAAATTGTACACTGTACTGGGACCTCACCAATCCCTGTATAGCTGTAGCAATATTTCACCACTTTCATTCTCATTGTCCTTTCAATAAAGACTAAAATTTCACTTGCCTTTCTAATTGTGCTAACTTTTTTGTGATTAATAAACAAGGACACCCAGATCACACTATAACTCAGCATTCTGCAATCTCGACTTAAATAATTTTCATTTTACCTGCTAAAGTGATAGCCTCATCTTCCCATTTTATTACTCCATCTGCAAATTCTTGGCCAACTCACTTAACCTGACTCTTTGTGTCCTCTTCAAAGCTTGTTTTCCTACCTATATTTGTATCATCATAAAATTTAGCTTCAATTGAGTTGGTCTATATTGTCTGCCCAAGGTATTATATGTTACCTGATATCTTGTGATGGTGACATTGATTAAGCAGCTTGGAAATGTTATTTTCTAATAGTAATGTCCCGTTTGTTTGTCTTCTGGAATTACTGAAAAGCTCATATTGACTTTATTTTTGTCAATTTGTTTTCTGTTTATACAGCCCTGATGCTGATTATAAGACAATGACAAGCAAATGGCCATCTGTGTGGGTGAAGATCACTTCAAGTTGGGTCTGCCTTCTCTTGTATGTCTGGACATTGGTGGCCCCTCTCATTCTTACTAACCGTGACTTTGACTAGAGTGCTTCATGCTTGTTTGACTGGTTGCTGAATTAAACAAAGTCCATCTAACATGAAACTAATTGGTATAGCTATTGATTTTTTTTTAAATTTAATAAAACATTGCCTACCGCAGAACATTTATTGGGCCTATTGCACTGAAATACAACAAAAAAACATGTTTTTAGCCTTAATGTTGTTATCTCCAGATGAATAATATGCACTTTGCATCCACTTGAAAGCTATAAGAATGAGGTGGTGTCAGGGAGTATCAGTTTTGGAACTCTTAAATTAGTTGTCTATTGTAGATTATAAGGCAGTTCTGTTTAGAAGCTCTTTACAGTTTCCGCAAAGCATTTAATACTGCTTTACAGAGATTTGCTGTTAGGTTCTACGGGTTTATGCTACATTTGGGTTTTTTAAAATTTAAGATTGTAATAATGTATTAAAATGTGCACTTTTTCGTGCATTGCATAAATCACATGGATGTTGAAGTTAAAAAAACATGCCATTCCTCTGCTCTTGCAAGAGCAAAACATAAAATCGAATCGTGATTTCCACACAATATTTAATGTGTTTTGTATAGTGTGTAGAGAATATAATGGTTTAAAATAGTGAGCAAAATTTTTCATGCATGTTAGAAATGAAGTCTGGTCCATAAAAATCTTGTCTGTAAAGAGTTTATATTGAAAAGATAAATGTTAAGTTATCCTAATCAAATCTGTATTAAGCATTTAGCATTATTAAAGTACTAAAAAATGTGATTGTGTATCGCTTTCTCAATTCTTTCTGTATTTATCTGAAGGCATTCGTATTTATGATTCAAGCTTGTTATGCAGTTAGTAAAAGAAACTGAAAAGAATTATTTAAGACTGGATTTTTTTGTTGGTAGAATAGTTTAAGATTATTTTCAACCTTTATATTGCCAGATTAAAGGTACTTTTCACTGATTTTATGGGCGGGGAAAGAAAATGGGAGTTGAAATAATTCTTTGGAAAAATCTTGCCTGGCAGTGTTTTTAAGGTTGTAGAAGAGCTGAGGTCAGTGAACCTTGTTTTTGTTTCAATATTTCTGATTGACAATGTTGCTATGTATACCCATGACTGATTAACCATAACAATCTCCATTTAGGTTATGCCATTTCCATAAAGAAATATTCCAAATTTCTTCACAAGTAAATGAATGCCAGCCCACCAACAAAGATTAGGAGGAATAACCGTGGTAAAGAAATGAACATTTAAAGGTGTGGAAATAAAGCATTTTGGGGAGGAAATTCCAGACAGTAACGGACTTAAAGCTCTACCATCAGTGTTACAGAGAACGGTACGGGTCAGGAAGGGGAATTGTGAATGAGTTTGGAGTGTTTTAGAAAAAGTGACCAGAAAAGAGGGGTAGAATAGATTACAGATGGACCAGCCTATGAATGGATTTGTGTTGGGAGACAAGGGAGCTAAGTGAGCCATTGAAGACAGGATGATGGGTCAGTGAGACTTAATGAAGAATAGGATATTTGCTGCAGATATTTGTACTTGAATTTTTCCCCCACTCGTCCCCACTCCCACCATCACCGTTACTATCTTCTATCACTTCAAATTTGCTATTAAAAATGAAATCCGTGACCTCTGACTTTGCAAGTTCCAACAACTTTCCTTTCCCTTTAAATCCTGAATGCATCATCATTCTTAAACCTGTGATTATCTTTCCCAAAATTCTGTGTTTGAATTCCTCTGATTGGATTGTTGGCTCTCCTGCAGTATTGAAACAGCCCTCATCAAAGTGGCATCCTTGTGGTTTTTACCTCCCCAACCTTCTCAGCCTGTTGGCAGCATTTAATACAGTTGAACCTGCCACTCTTCTCCATTATCCAAATGAATCAAACTGTTCGTTTCCCTTTCTTTGTAATTTCTTTATTTTTATCCCATTTAGAAAGCTCATATATACATTGATTAAGTTATAATTAATCTGCTCACAAAACACTAATTTGCAAAATACTTTGTACTAGATTAAGCTTGCAGATGGTGTTAATAGGCAGAAGTACATGGATTTTTGTTAGGCAAAGAGAATCGAATGTTACATCAGGAATAGGTAGAAATAGGGAATTCAAGATGCAAACAGGTCAACCATGATCTTATCGAATGACAGAGTAGGTGTGAGGGGGAGTGGTTTCTTCTAACTTCACAAATTCCATGATTTGGATTAAATAATTTAATCTCAGCACCTTTGTAGTATCATAGATTCTTATGTTCTTTTGTATATATTTTTTTAAAAAGTTGACTTTGGCATGACAGTTGAAGTGCATAATTCTCATACAATTAGTTGCGAATGTGAATTTTCATCATGGACTTGCGTATATGCTGTAATTGTTAGAAAAAACACGGCACAAAGAAATTGTTAATTCAATAGCACTATTGATGTGTTTACAGACCAGACCACACCGGTTCAAGAAGGTGGCTCACCATCTTTGGCATTTGGGGATGGGTAATAAATGTTACCCTTGTCAGCAATTACTATATTCCTCAAGTGTAGAAGAAAAGTCAGAATTATGAACTTTGAAAACTGCATGTTTATGTTTTGCTGTTGAGTTTTTATTTACTATTTTCTAGACATTTTAAATATGAACCAGAAAGTCCAGCCAATATGTTGAGATATAAATTCTAGACATGTACCACTGCGAATGTGTTAATTTATAGATCCTTCATGCACCTTTTACTTCTCATCACCACCTTGTTTTTTGTAATCAGCCAATTTAGCAAATGATCGGGATTAAATCTGCAGCCCTCTTGGTCTGTGTGACACAGTCTTGATTGTGTAAAATGATACGGTCACTTTAATCAGCAGGATAAGTATTCCAGTTCTCAAAATTGTGAATTTATCCCATTATCTCATTGTCTGGATGAGCTACTTATTTATTCATGAATGAAAGGTTTTGCATATGTAGACAGGTAATCCATGCAAGAATCAAACTTTTGTAAGGGATAACACTGTTCAAATGGTTTATACAAATGAAGTACTAGATTTTTAAAATTTTTTCATAGATCTGGAAATCACTGACCATACCAGCATGTGTTTCCCTACTCTAATTTCTCTTGAACTGAGCATTGTTCTAGACAACTTTAATTGGCAGTTAAGAGTCAGTCATATTGCTGTAGGTCTGGAGTCACATGTTGACCAGACCAGATAAGGTTGGCAGATGTGCTTTTATGACAATCAGTAATAATTGTTATGATTACCATTACTTACTTTATGTTCTAGATTTGTTCATTCAAGTTGCATTTTTGAATGTCAGGCCATGTCTTGAGAGAATTTAGCCTGGGTTTCTGGATTCCAGTCTAATGACGATACCACTACTGCATTGTCACACCATCTTCCAATAGTCAGTTGAATCCTCTGCCATTTAGCTGACTAACCCCACTTTATTTCTTTTTAGGGTGACATTCTCTTAATTAGTATGAAACAGGACTTCTATCTGTTTCCAGGAACAATGCACATCTGATGATGCTGCAGGCCAACTGACCACTTAGCCTACCAGCAGAGCCAATCGAGCAGTGGTTGCTGCTCCTGATGCAGGTCTGCAGGAGTTGTGATCAGTGATTGACCTAGTGAAATGAGAGTCCAGGCGTGAGGGTGTATGAAACAGGCTTGGGAGACAGGATTATGGATGTGGGGCCTCTGATTTGTACAGGGGGCTTGAGAAATAACCCCTTCCTTCTCCCTGATCAGCAGCCTTCGGGGTTAAACGTTCCTAGACATGTATTATGTTTCAGTCTTACACTCTGCCATATTGGAGTAGTCGGAGTTCCTTAAGTGGGCATTACATACTTCAATTGGATTGCTTTAAACTCTACAAAACTTTTTATAAAGGATCACTTTAATGATGTTTTTCTGATAATGCAATACATGTGCAGTACTCTTATCCTATCACTCTATATACACAATATTTTGTTTGAACACTGCAGAAGTACATTGGATGTGCTTTTCTGTAACTAATTTGAGTGTATGTGCTTATGTTTTGACTGAGGATGGATGTGTGTACTGTCTTTCTCTAGTCCCATTAATGCATGGGCCATGACAAACTTAATTGTCTTGCTTCATTCCCATTCTGGCTACTCATACTTTATTATACTTGATATAAAATTATTCATTAACCAGTTTTCTTTATCAAAATTCTTGATAAATTAGAATACAAAACTTATTCAGTGAAAGTGCACATTTGGTCAACACATTTAGTTTGTAATAAGAAAATATACATGTTGCGCCCCTCTACTGGTGTGTGAATTATTTAGTGTACGGTGGCTTGGGGGATGTGTGAACAATAAATGATTTCTCTCTGCAGAAATTCAGTTGGAGAGAAAAAATTATTTTGGCTAGCGAATCTAAGTTTCTGAAGGCAACAATGGTAAATTTTGAGATGTTCTAGTGGCTGTTGGTCTCTGGTATTGGTGGAGACAGCTTGCTTAGGAAAATATAAGGAGTCTTCCAGTTATTCTCCAAGAGGACAATCAGGATTCACCAAAATAAGTCATTAGTTGAGGGGGGAAGAGGGGTCATCTGTAAACAAGTAATTATCACAAGAAATGAGACTACCATGAAATACATTGTTTCCAAAAAAAGTTTGCCCTTTTATTGACATTTTTTAAAAAAGCAATCCAGGGATCCACAATCATCCAAACTTAAATTTACAAAGAATATTAAATATAAAGCCACTAAAAGAAACATTTGTAGGGATTTGGGCCAAACACCAGAAGTGGGACTAGTTTAGTTTGGTAACGTGGTTGGTGTGGACTAGTTGGACCGAAAGGTCTGTTTCCATGCTGTATGACTATGACTTTAGATTGGTCCCTGGGATGTGAGGGTTGTTCTCTGTTGAGGCTGAATAAATTGATTCTAAATAAATTGATTCTATTTTCTCTGAAGTGTAGATGGTGGAGGGACTTGACAGGCTAGCCATTGAGGTTGCTTTCCTGACTGAAGTATCTAAAAAATAGCTGACAGTCTCAAGATAAATGGTTGATTTACTTTTTCTGAGGTTTGTGAATCTCTGAAATTCTGTAGAGGGTCGGGATTCTTCATCACTGAAAAGGTTTAAGGCCATGATAAACTGATTTTTGGTCTCTTCCCACTCATTCATATCCTTTGATTCCCTAAATGAAATTTAAGCTGGAAATATCAGCCATGATTGTATTGAACAGCTGAACAAGCTTGACTGGCCTACACCTGCTTATGTACATATTTGCTTGCTTCATCCAAAAAAGACTTCAAGATTTTCAAAACAAATTTTATTGCCAGTTGTAACAATTAACACAGTGGAATATTGAGTAACAGTTATTTTAGAAAAGTCCAAGTAGTAGTAATGAACTATCATTAAGTGCCTATTTAGATCTGAGTATATTGTTGTGAACGTGACTTAAAACAGAATTAACTGTCTAGCCCAAGATTTAACATAACAAGTTCACATTATTTTATGCCAAGTAACTCTGGTACAAAAGACAAAATATAAAACATTTATTAAAATAAATTTTTCTTCATATCCAATGTTCTCCCTGAAGATGCTGTTGACCTCTGTCTAGGATAGGGTTCTACAGATTTTGAATGATCAGAACACTTGTGGGTGCAGGGAGTCATAACTGATTTTAATATTGTTACCCCTCAATGTGCACATGCGTTCTATTTCAAGATCAACAACCTTGATTTTCAACTTGTTAACTCAACCTAATTACAGCCTAATTCCTGACATCCCAGTGCAGTTCAGATTATAGTGAAACTTGGAAACTACATGGTATGGTTGAGCTATTCATTAATAAGATAGCCCATCATGTACATCAGCAATATTATACATCCTTTTCATAACTCCATTAAAAAATAACTTGCAATTTTAAATACTTGACAGACTATTGTTGTACAGAGGAAAACAATACAGTAAGCTTTAAGCAAAAATTGTGAAATACTCTCTTTGAAAAATATTTATGTAAAATGTTATGTGTTTGCCCTCCAGATTTGAGAGCTGCAATAAGATAATAGTAATTCCAAAACAGCTGATTTGGCACAAAGTAATTGTGATGGAATGTCAAAAAGACGTTGATTGCTCTATAGAATCAAACAGCTGAGGTATCCATTTAAATTGTCCTGCCCAGTGAAAATCCGATGAGGAACAGGGGAGCCTGCTTACCAACTCCAACACAATTAAGTGACCTGTTCAGACATGTCATGGGAGATCTCTTAGAACATGTGCAACTTGAACTTGGACGCTTTTGCCCAGATGTAGCCACTACCAATGTACCAGAAGAAGAGTCCCTGACCCCAACTGTCACCAATTATCTTTTACCTGAGCCAGAGTAAGGAGCATTGCTGTGGTCTTCCTGTAGCATTGAAGCAAATTGGAGGCTCTAGTCATCCCGACAGCAGCCATAGTAAACGAAATCTTTCTAAGTTCAGGAGAAGCAAACATCCTCCTCAGGACCCTGCATAAAAGATCATTGATTCCTATGCTCTGGTCTCCTGTGGCCTACCTGGTTTGGTGCTGACTGAAATAGCTCTCCTACCCACCAGACAGCAACCTTTTTGCACAACTGGCTTGGTTACGCACAGATCATGCAATCAGTTTAAAATCATAAGAAGATTCTTTCCACCGTTGGGAGATGGCAGCTTAACCTGTTAAACGCAGTTCTTTCTCCCCTGCTAAAACAATCAGAACTGACTGTGGAAAGCAAATCAACACCACTGAGTCAGACAAGCAATCCAGAGTTTGCCAACTTGATTGTTTAAAGGCCCACAATTGACTGACTTCTGAAAATCTACATCGAAATGACACAATACTATTTTTGTCAATTAAAAAGCATTGTGTGGTTTGCTTCCTAAATTATGCAGATTTGAAATAACACAATTACTTTTAGTGTTAAATTTTATTTGGCTCAGTGTTGCTAAATGCTAAATTAATCTTAGTCATGTTTAGATTGTGTTTCTATTACATTTTAGTCAGATCGTAGCTTTGAGAAACTAAGCATCTTTGGAATTCTTTGTGCAAAATGCTTGTATGGCTCGTTGCTACATTGATATTGAGACCAAAACAGGGCTTTTCAGTGCAAGTTATGCAAAGATACAATGCAATATAACATTTTCAAAAGAGAGTCTAGTGTTTCATTATAATGGGATCACAAAAAGTTTGTCAAATCGACTGGTAAACTGAATTTAAACTGAATTTGAACTGAGGCAGTTGGATCACCAACATTCCCATCTAAAAGTAGTGCCGGAGTCCAACGCAGTGTTTGAAGCAGTAACCTGACACTGGTTTTAGCTGTAATGACTAATTAGTGTCCACAAAGTGTGTTTGCCATTCAATTTGGGATGGCAGGCAGGCAGGCTCTAAAAGCTGGAGGACCAATAGGAAGCCTTCTACCCTGGACAGAGCTGGCGTGAGCAACTTTAATATACTTGAAATTAAAAGTGACCACAGCTGGATGACCAGTGTGGAGGGAAATCCCTCCATAGGCAGCCTTTAGCCAACCCAGGCAAGGCATCTGCAGCAGTACATCAAAGTGATCCCGTTGTAGTGATATGAAATCAGGACAGCTCAAGTCATTTGCAATGCTCCCAGTGCTACAGAGGACCTGTAGGCCAGTTGAAAAACGGCCTCGACTGGCAACGAGGCTACCCACCATTTGCAGGCAGTAACCGTTCCTCACCTGGTCAATTCCTGGAGTTGTGATAATTACAGACAGCAGTATTGCAGGGAATAGGAGCTGTATGATAATCCATTGTCCTCTTGCCGGAAAATGCTTAGACTTTTAAATTCCTATCAACCTGCTGGCAGGTTAATTATTTCCACCAGTGGGAGGGACAGAAATCAAGGATTACATAATAGGATGGATTTGACCCATGTATTGCACGTAGGTCCATGCTGGAGTTGTGACCTGCATTTAAACCTTTCCCTATTTTCCCTACCCCTTGAAGGGTGGGGTAAGCACAGCTGGTTTTTGACATACAAATTACTTCACGGAGTAATAGTTGCAGAATTAAGCCACACTGGATCTGAATGAATAATGGTAATAATTTCAAAATTAAGACCTTGCAATTTGGTTTTATATTACAGTACTGCAATTACACTAACTTCTCATTTGAACACAATGATGCATCATTTAGTTCCGTCTGTCTCAGCAACTGAGAAACACTAAATAGTTTGGGACTTGTTTTTCATAAAGTCCTCCAAACAAGAGCAATCAATGGAATTTGCCCTTTCTAATGCCACATTCAATATTGAAAAAATATACCGAGATCAGTTAAATCCCAGTTTGACAACTCCACAATACTGTTAACCTCAGAAAAATAGCTGCAAAAGTCAAACGTTTTTAATGTTGACAATATTAGTGGAATGATTTTTTTATATCTCAATTTTTTACAAATGGTGCACATTAGGCATCTGTATAGTTGTGTTGACCAATTACAGTACTACATAGTCAATATTTGATCCTGATGCTTTTCTTTAATAAATGCCGCTATTTAAAGAGAAGGGAGAGTGAGAAATGTAACAACTTGACTCAGTTGAAATTCTACATATGTTAGCAGAATGGCAGCATATCATTATATGCTAACTTCTTACAAGAAGAATTTACTGAAATGTGCAAAGTGTGAATTGCCTGTGCTTTCTTTGCAAAAAAAAAAATCAAATCATATCTGAAACCCAGAGCAAAAGTAAAAGTACTTCTGTTACACTATAAAAGTCATGATAGTCTTACCGGAACATGGGTCCGCTGTCTCATTACAGAGAGGGGATTGGTGATAGTTTAACCTGAGGGTCACCACACCGCAAGTGAGTGAGAGGTTGCAAAGGGCAATCCCTCATGGTAACATCAGCCGGTGCAGGAATTGAACCCACAAGTTTGCATCACCTCTACACTGCAAACCAACCATCCGGCCAATTGAGTTAAGTATATTTTACCATGTAATGAACAGAGATATCTGCAACTTAATTTAAAAAGAACCCATCATCCTTTGTTATCTCTGACTCCAGCATCTGCAGTTCTTACTATCTCCCTGTCATTCTTTGTATGCTGTTTACTGAATACTTCAGATAGGCAGTTGTTAATAAACTGTTCTTTCCCTCATCCCTTTAAGGCCCACAGCACCATTTCAATATCAAAGTGTGTAGTTAATGGTTTGAATTATAACATTTACTTTGGCTCTGTTATTCTGCAATACCCAGCAGTGCCAGATGGCGACCATTGCAGATGCTGAACAATATAAATTATGTGACTGTCTTGTCAATATCCAAAAGGTTTATGTTAAGACACTAGTATTTTCACTTAAAAATTGGGCCTTGATCTCTCTATACAGTTGAGAAATATTCAGCTTAGGAACCAAATATTCCTGTTTATGGTGTTGCCAGTTCAAGATCAATAGCATGACAGCAGGCAGATCAGACATGTTCAGATTTGCACATTTTTGGCAGGCTAACAGTTGAGCTTTTGTATCAACTAATTTATCAAAAACCTTGAAACTGCCTGCCACTGTCTTTAAAATTACTGCTGTAGATCAAGAATATATATTCAATTTCTTTAAATAGGGAAGTAGAAGTCAGACATTTCTGCCAATACAATTTTAGACATTGAAGAAACTGTAAAGTACTTTAAAAGTGAGCAGACCATTATTTTGAATAAATACCCCAGCACCAAAATAAAATACATCATGAGAAATGTCAAACAAGAGTCTTATTAATAACAGTAATACAATGGTGACCTCACTCCTCTAAAGGAATCATCACACTGTTGGCCTGACTGACCATTTGCCCCCACTGCATATTGTGCCAGTGAATTATCTATTGGTGTATGCATCTGAGAAAATTCTGCTACAAATTCATCCTCAAATGCCAACAGAGACTCAGTCCAGGCCGCTGTGTTGAGTTTTCCCATTGTACCTCCATACTCTTGAGGAAGGGTATTTGGTGGAATATCCTTGTGAAGTGAGCTTAGATCTGAACCGTGAAGAACAAACTATAAAAAGGATGGAAAATATATTCAAATCTTTGGTGTAGATAAAACTTGAATATGAATCTCAAACATTGTTAAATTGGTAAAATTTAAATCTGTAACAAAATACTTTTGAAAGGTAAGACATACCAATAACAACTTACAATAAAAATATCTGAAATCATAAACATTGAGCCTAGAATAAACATCACCTTTTAAAGTGATGGAACTTTATTCTATAAATGTATTTTATTTTCTTATTCTACCATCCTAATGAGACTTTTGGCTTCAATCTCAGCGTAATTGCCCAATTCAAAAACCTTTAGTGATGACATCAGCGTAACGTGTATAGGACAATCAAGAAAAGACTGAAGTTATCACAAGTTAGACCAAAACTGTACAGTGGGACCTGCTGAAATGGGTATTCAAGTTGCCACTTATGCTTATTTGTTTATTCTGACAGTATAATTTTCCTCACTTACAGCACACAAGCAGATCTAAACTTAGACATGGAGTGAAGGAGTTGGTTGGGCAGAAGAGAACTCTGGAGCCAACACTTATGGTCTGCTTATCCAATTAACTAAATGATCAGAAAGTTATCAGAAAATAATCTGGCAGCAATATTTTCATTGAAGCAGATTAATTGCAATCTTAGTGACGTGTTGTGCAGGAATTCTCTTATTTATCTCAAAAAAAAACTGATCAATTAAATTAATGCCATACTATGAAATGAAGGTTATGTCATACATTCTTATATTAACACCCCCTATCTGACAAGGGTGCAATGCAAGTCTGAATGTCTGTCAGCAACATGGATTTAATACAAATGAGTCACATCAAAGGAAAATAAAACAAAGAAATCTGAAACAAAAACGGAATGTTGAAACTCAGCAAGTCTGGCAGATTCTGTGGAGAAATACAGTTCACTTTCAAATCCAGTGACCCTTCATCAGAACTGAATGTAGCTGGGAAAGGGTGGTATTTTTGTTGATTTATATTTACAGTCTTCAAGACCCTATATTCAGTTTAACTCCTCTTCTGCCTAGGTACTTTACAGCCTTCAGGATTCAATGTTTAGTTTAATAATTTCAGAACTTGAACACCCTCCGCTATGTTTGTTACCCATTCTCACATCCCTAGGTTCTGTTTTATATGGATTGCTCCAGCTGTTATGGACCAGACCAAACCTCTCAAAATATATTAAGATAACTCAGACCTTAACTTTTTCTTATTTTAAAGGTAAGTGTAAGGCGTTGCATTCTAGATATGATTTGATGGGTCAAACTACTCGACTTTATCCAAAACTACAGTTAAAATACAGAAAAGAATTAACTGTAGCTATCGAAATGCTTAACAAAATAATATATACATTAACTACTACTAATTAACAGTTCCAACAAAGTAACATCTCATAAACACACCCTTGGCGAAGGAAAATTCAGTAAAATAGATTGTTTCACATGCAATTCTAGCAACAGGAAGAGAACTCAGCTTCTAGTAAAGAGAGGAATAAGAGCTTCCACATCCAGCTTCAAGATCCCAGCAACTGCTGAAAGCTAAAACTAAAAATCCTGGCTCTGTGGGAGCTTGACCACACCCATTAGGGCTGCTGCTATTGTTTCAACTTTAAAAAAAAAAAAAATCAAAGGCCTCACAAGCTACGTACTTTATTGGCTTTGAACAGACTATTCGGTACCTCTGTCTCAACATTTCTCCATAAAAACCCAGGACAAAACACACCCCTTAAAGCCATAGTATCTTCACACAGCACAACCAATCCATTTTCAACCATTCACACTTCTTGTTAGCACCCTAATCAGCATTTATCTCCCTCTCAACTTATCATGAGCATGCCCTTTGTTTGCCTCCCCCTTCTTTCCCCTCTCTCTCTTAGCACCATGACTCACTCATTCACTTCTTCCCCAAACCCACTCCTATTTTCAGCACATATATCAGAGCTGAACTGCCTTCAATTCTGATGAAGGGTCACTGGACTAGAACCATTAATTCAGTTTCTCTCTATATATAGAGATGCTGCCAGACCTGTTGAGCTTCTTCAGTGCTCATTGTTTTTGTTGTACATTAAAGAAAAAAATCTGAGAGAATGGATGAAAATGTTAATTTGTGTAAACGTCATTTACCATCTGCAATTTAGTTATAAAACAAATTTGATTTATTACATTTTGCTCCTTTATTGGAAAAGAAGAGGAATTCAAGTGTAGTCTAAGATGGTTGAGACTGACACATGTAACCCTTGCTTTCTAAAGCTTCCAGGCAGTTTAGAAGTAGAATATAGTACATAAAAAGCTACTGGAAAAGTGCAAAGCAACATTACCAGGTATAGCATTCTCCAGAATTGAGAAAATACAATGAAATATAACAAATCCAGATGTGGAGATATTTTGATTTACAGATGCGAGAAGTCTACTTTAGAACACTATATAAAATGCTGAATAATATGGTATGCTGTATGTTTTGTAAGCTTAAAGCGTGATATGGAAGATTTGGAGCAAAGGTCTAAATTATTTTCAGACATACACAGCAGTCAACAGCTCTACACTGAATAATTCTACATTACTACACAATTGTACAATTTAACGTGTGCCATAAAGTGCCAAGAAAACTATTTAAAATACATACCCTTTCTGTCATCTTCTCCTTTAGAAAAGGTTTTATGATAGCAAAAATGCCCTTAAAAATTATGGGTTCATTAATGACATTGACAGTTTTTATTCTCATCGGAAATCCATCCTATGAAGAGAAGTGAAAAAGGTTAGATAGCTGCCACAATGTACAACAGTTAAGAAAAGTAGCAAATGAACACAATTTCTGATTCATTTATCACATTTAGCAATGTTTTATAGGAATGATTGATTAAGAGCACTGCACATGCAACCCAAAAATATTATAAAGCACCAGACGATTTTCCACAGAGTTCACAAAACAATATAAAATACAAATATTTCATGTGTAGAGTATATACTTATTGACCATCTACATTTCCTGATCTTTGATGTTCACTTGCTGTGCAATAATCATTTATTCATTTATAATTGAACAGACATTTTAGATCATAAGACCATAAAATGTAGGAGCAGAAGTAAGCCATTCAGTCCATTGAGTCTGCTCTTCCACTCAATGGGATCATGTCTGACCTGATAATCCTTATTGCGTTTTCCTGTCTTTTTGTCAAAACTCTTACTGATTAAAAATCTCTCCACCTTGAATATATTTAATGATCCAGCCTTGGCAGCCCTGTGATAAAGACTCCACAGATTTACTACCCTCAGAAGAAATTCCTCATCCCTGTCATCAATGTACAATCCCTTTTCTGAGATTATGTCCTCCAGTCCCAGACTCTTCCACAAGGGGAAACAAATCTCTGCATCTACCCTGTCAAGTCCCTTATAAATAATTATCAACCTCTCTTCATAAGATAGTCCCTTCATTCCCAATATCAGCCTCATGAACCTTCTTTGGAATGCCTCCAATTTCAGTTCATAGTTTTCCAGCTGTGTAATTTTAGCAAAACCTCCCCCTTATTCTCCATTCCCTTTGAATTAAAGGCCAACATTCCATGCTTTCCCTATTATCTGTTTGAACTTAGGTGCTAGCTTTTTGTAATTCATGCATAAGGACTCCCAAATCCTTCTCTTTCTGTAGCCTTCTGCAGTCTTCTCCATTTAAATAATGTTCAGTTCTGACACTCTTCCTGAAAATGCATAACTTTACATTTCTCATTATATTCCATCTGCCAAGTTTTTGCCCATTTGCTTAACCTGTCCATATCCCTCTGCACACTCTCCCATCTCACTGCTTGCCTTTCCACTTATTTTTGTGTCATCTGCAAACTTGGCTATACTACATTCAATTTCCTCATCCAAGTCATTAAAATATATTGTAAATAATTGTGGCCCGAGCACTGATCCATTTGGCACTCAGCTAATTACAGGTTGCCAGCCTGAAAATGCCCCCATTTTCCCAACTCTGTCTTCTATTAGTTAGCCTATTCTCTGGCAATGCAAATATGTTACTTCCAGCACCATGGGCTCTTATCTACTAAGTGTTCTAATGTGTGGTATATTATCAAATGCCTTCTGAAAATCCAAATTTATTACACCCACTGCTTCCCTATTCTGCTTGCTACCTCCTGTAAGAACTGTTTGAATTTTAGCTTCCAAGTTTATCTTCTCCCTTGTTATTAATTTTTTGATAATCTTTTATTGGTTTTTAATACTTTCCCAATCATCTGGCTTACTACTAATTTTTGCCACATTATATGTTTTTTCTTTCAATTTGATATTATCCTTAACTTCCCTGGTTAATCATGGTTGGCTTAGACCCTTCCCAGAATCCTTCTTCCTCACTGGATTATATCTTTGTGCTGAGCCAGAAACTATTTTCTTAAACATCTGGCATTGTTCCTCAACTGTCTTTGCTGTTAAACTCCTTTCCCAGTCCACTCCCGCTAGCTCTTCCATCACTCCTTTGTAAACACCCTTGTTTAAATTTAGACAGTTGTTTCCAAACCAAGTTCCTCCCTCTCAAATTGAATGCTAAATTCTACCACTGTCACTGTTTCCTACAGGATCTTTTACTCTGATATCACTTATTAAACCTACTTCATTACCCATCACCAGATCTAAAACTGCCTGATCACTGGTTTGATCCATAACACATTGTTCTAGGAAACTGTCCCAAACACGCTATATGAATACTTCCTCATAACTGCTCCTGCCAATCTGATAGAAATTTACGTTCTGTACTTATGATCCTGCAAGGATTTTGGAAGATTTATTTTATAGCCAGAGGAAAATCAGTTGAAATCAATGGAATTTGCTATGGTAATGTTGTTATTGTTTAATTATACAATAGTCATAGGTCATCAGAAACAGGTAGTTCAGATCAATAACAGTTGAAGACTTTTAAATCACTGTTCTTGGTGAGTACTTTCAGCATTCAAAAACCGATGAGCTGTGGTTTCCATGGAAATCATTGCTTGGTGATTATCAGGATAAGAAAAAAAAGAAATTGAAACCTGTTAAACTTTCTCCTCTGTCTGGTTTTGCTTTTATTCTCATTGGATCAAAGCTCTGTTAATCAAACAGACATTAATCAGATGGCTACGTGCTTTCCGCACAATGAAATGAACAACTTTGCTGTAAAGCATCATCGACATTTGAAAAGCCAAATGCCTAGTTTCAGCCAACAACACGGCTCGACAGCAATAAAAAAAAGATCTGGAAGGTGACACTATTACAACTGATATCAAATATGGGGAAGCAATGGCCAAGTGGTATTATCATTCGACTGGAATTTATTTAATTCAAAAGATATCTGGAATTAAAAATCTGCCGATGACCATGAAACCACTGTCGATTGTTGGAAAAACCCACCTGGCACATGGATGTCCTTCAGGGAAGGAAATCTGCCATCCTCACCTGGTTGATCTACATGTGACCCACAGCAGTGTGGTTGACTCTCAACTGCCCTCTGAAATGGCCTAGCAAGCAGTTCAGTTGTACCAATCGCTACAAAGACTCAAAGAAATGAAACTGGAAAGATCACCTGGCATCGACCTAGGCAATAGAAAAGACAACGGCAGAAACAGCCCAGTCGACCCTGCAAAGTCGTCCTCACTAACATCTGGATGCTATTGCCAGAATTGGGAGAGCTGTCTCACAGACTGATCAAGCAATAGTCTGACAGACTCATACTCATGAAATTATACCTTACAGACAATGTCCCAGACACCACCAACACAATCCCTAGATATGTCCTTTATCTCTAACAGGACAGACTGAGCAGAGGTGGCAGCACAGTGGTATACAGTCAGGAGGGAGTTGTCTTGGGAATCCTCAACGTTGACTCTGGACCCCATGAAGTCTCATGGTTTCAGGTTAAACATGGGCAAGAAAACCTCCTGATGAATCAGTACTCCTTCATGCTGAACAACACTTAGAGGAAGCACGGAGGATGGCAAGGACACAAAATGTACTCTGGGTGGGGGATTTCAATGTCACCACCAAGAGTGGCTCGGCAGCAGGACTACTGATTGAGCTGGTGAGGTCCTAAAGGACATAGCTGCCAGACTGAATCTGCAACAGGTAGTGAAGGAACCAACAAGAGGGAAAAACATACTTGACCTCATCTTTACCAATCTGCCGGCTACAGATGTGTCTGTCCACGACAGCATCAGTAAGAGTGATCACCACATAGTCTTTGTAGAGACAAAGTCCCACCTTCGCATTTTGAATAACCTCTATCGTGTTGTGTGGCACTATCACTGTGCTAAATAGGATAGATTTCAAACAGATCTAGCAACTCAAGACTGGACATCCATCAGTATATTGATGGAAGGTGTCATCAACAGTGTGATCAAACAGCACTTGCTCAGCAGTAACCTGCTCAGTGACGCCCAGTTTGGGTTTGCCAGGGCCAGTCAGCTCCTGACCTCATTACAGTCTTGGTTCAAACATTGACAATAGATTTGAATTTGAGTGGTGAGGTGATGGTGACAGCCCTTGCCATCAAAACCATATTTGACCTGGTGTGGCATCAAGGAGCCCCAGCAACTGGAATCACTGGGAACAGGTGGAAAACTCTCTACTGGTTGGAGTCATGCCTGGCACATAGAAAAACAGTTATGGTGGTTGGAGGTCAGTCATCTGAGCACCAGGACATCTCTGCAGGAGTTCCTCAGGGCAGTGTCCTAGGCTCAACAATCTTCAAGTTGCTTCATCATAAGGTTAGAAGTGGGGGTGTTTGCCGATGATTGCACAATGTTCAGCACCATTCACAACTCCTCAGATACTGAAGCAGTCCATGTCCAAATGCAACAAGATCTGGACAATACCCAGGCTTGGGCTGACAAGTGGCAAGTAGCATTCATGCCACACAAATGCCCATGCAATGATCACCTCCAATAAGAGACAATCTAACTACCACCCCTTGACATTCAATGGTGTTACCATCACTGAGACCCCACTGTCAAGATACTTGGGATACCATTGGCCAGAAACTCAATTGGACTTGCTACGTAAACAGAGTGGCTACAAGAGCAGGTCAGAATCTAGGAATATTGTGACATGTAACGTACCTCCAGGCTACCCAAAGCCTGTCCAGCATCTAAAAAAGCACTCATTAGGATTGTGATGGAAAACCCCCCACTTGTCTGGATGGATGCAGCTCCAACAACACTCGAGAAGATGGACACTATCCAGGACAAAGCAGCCCACTTCATTGGCACCACATCCACAAATATCCACTCCCTCCATCAGTGATGCACAGTAGCAGCTGTGTGTACTATCTACAAGATGTACTGTAGAATTTACCAAAAGATCCTCAGACAGCACCTTCCAAATCCATGACCACTTTCATCGGGAAGGATGAGGGTAGCAGATACATGGGAGCACAATCACCTGCACATTCCCCTCCTAGCCACTCACCATCCTGACTTGGAAATATGTTACTATTCCTTCACTGTCGATGGGTCAGGATCCTGGAATTCCCTCCCTAAAGGCATCGTGGGTAAACCTACACCACTGGACTGCAGCAGTTCAAGAAGGCAGCACACCACCACCTTCTCAAGGATGGGCAACATCCACGTCCCACAGATGAATTAAAAAAAAAACTCACCTTAAGAAACTTGTGGCATTATGATCTCCCGTGGCAACCATAAGACAAAACAAACAAATATATCTTACAAATCCACAAGTATTCACATCATTCACTGCAGGCTTTTGGTACCA